ACAAGAGGGACCTCGTTCAGTTCCTCAACTTTGAGGAGCTTGATATAGCCTTCATGCAGCTTGCTATTTTGTAAGTTACAATATCATTTTCTTATTACATATTATACTTCATGCATGTCCTAATGTTTTTTACTTGAACAACAGGCATTTTAATCAAATCTGTCGAAACGGAGGACTTGAAAGAACATATGGCTTTATGTGTCCTCAAAGGGTGCAGAAAGAATTTAATACTGTGGAAGCAAGGTCAATCTACATTATGACCGCAATGAGTCAACCAAAAAGCTAATATATTTTGCACCTTACGTGGAAGGGTAAGTGTATTATTGTATTTGAGATATACAAGTTGAATGTGTCGGGTTATAATTAACATGGTTTGCCTTTTGCAGTTATCATTGGACTCTAATTGTTTGTGCCCCTTTTGACAACAAAGTTTACTGGTTCGATTCACTCTGTGGAAGTCCATCCGAAGAAACCAAAGATGTCATCGACACGTTAGTTTTTATTTATATATTTATTACTTGTGAAGTTTATACAAACATGCTCTAATATCATTTTCTCTTATAATGTTGATAGGGCTTTTCATACTTTTAATGTCGTGGTGATTAAACAAAATAGACAAGAACCAACATGGATTCTTCCACAGGTATATGTTGTTTTGAACTAACTTTTAAACATTTTTGGATGAATTAAAGTTAATGTTTATAATCAATAATGTCTAATATTCAATTTTATATCTTATTTTTTTAGTACCGTTGTCAACAAGGACATGTTGAGTGTGGATATTATGTCATCCGCTACATGAATGACATAATTGAGACAGGAACGACTGAGAAATTAGACGAGGTAAAGATGAGTTACGTTGCATGACGTTCTTCAATTTATTTCACATTTTTGACTAAGTTTACTATGTTATTTTTGATTAATAGATATTTCAAAATACTGCGCCATATCTCATGGATGACATCAACTTGATGAGGGACATTTTGTCAACAACATTGGTAGAAAAAATTGAAATTTAGCTTTCAAATAGATAGGTTATTTCTCAAAAAATTCATTGTTAGATGCTTTCTCTTGGTTCCCTCTTATATTGTTCATGATTTCCATTGTACAGAGAAGTAGTTACTTCTATTTCAAAATTGTTGGACCTGGCCAATACGTGTTCCTTGGTAACCACTTAGTTCTATTATATTGGCCGGTTTCCCTATTTTCGAATTGTGTAAAAAAAATTTTCATTGCTGTATATTAACTAGCTAATTGATCTTGTTCTGCGTGATCTGCACTGCCTATATTTGTTTGGAACTGTAGACTGCAGGGTGGTAAACACAAAAATAAAACAGAATTTAAAAAAAAAAAAAACCGCCGTTAAAAATGCTTTTCCACGGCGTTTTATTTATAAACCGCCGTGGAAAGTCCATTTTCCACGGCGGTTTTATATTTAACCGCCGTGGAAAATGGACTATCCACGGCGGTTAAATATGAAACCGTCGTGGAAAATGGACTTTCCACGGCGGTTAAATATAAAACCGCCGTGGAAAGTCCACTTTTCACGGCGGTTAAATATAAAACCGCCGTGGAAAGTCCACTTTTCACGGCGGTTAAAAACCGCCGTGTTTTCCTTACCTTTCAACGTCGCCTTTAACAACTTCGCCTTCAAAACCGCCGTTAAAAGCCTTTTTTCTGGTAGTGTGAAAGCATGTTAGCTTTACTGGGAGAACAAATAAATATTAGGCCATTTTTCCCATGGTAGGCACTTGACAACCAAAAATGTGTCAAAATCCAAATTGTCATCAGGGTAACAAAGAAAAATGAAATATATCAGTTTGGGACAAAACAAGATTTAATTCCAATATGATTTGAACCCAAAAATCCATCCGGAATAGGAGGAGCATAAATATTTATGGGAAAATCACTAACAGGTACCACAGAAGGCAATTTATTACTCTGAGGTCCCACGAAATGTCAAAATCACTGACAGGTCCCAAAGGACCTCAGAGTAATATTTTCGTTTTGTAAAATGACATTACTGCCCCTCATATTCCAGATTCACATTTGCTCTGTCATTACGATTTACAACCTCAGCAGCGACTATTAACAACCTAATGAGAGGGCGTTAACAACCCTAGCAGTATCCGTTAACAACTTACTTTATAGAATTATATAACCTCTACGTAAGAGTAAATTATAACCAAATAATATAATACAACAACTTTAACACTAAAATGGGAAACTTTTTGATATCATTAAGAATTTTAACTAGATCCAATAGGATTATAGTAATATTTTAATGCGAATATCCATTTACAATCTCAACAGCGATTATTAACAACCGAATGAGAAGGTATTAACAACCTAAGCAGTAGCCGTTAACAACTTACTTTATAGAATTATATAACCTCCGCATAAGAGTAAATTATAACCAAATAGTATAATACAACAACTTTAATACTAAAATGGAAAGCTTTTTGATATCATTAAGAATTTTAACTAAACCCAGTATGATTATAGCAACATTTTAATGTGAAGATCCATTTACAACCTCAATGGTGAGTATTAATAACCCAAAGAGAGCTGTTGACAATCTAGGCAGTATCTATTAACAATTGACTTTATAGGATAATATAACCTCTAACAACTATATAAGATTAACTTTAAGACTATTTAGTTATAGTTTAGTTAGTTATAGTTAGAAGTTATATTATCCGATAAAATTAGTTAACAGACACTGCTAAGGTTGTTAACAATTCTCCTTAGGTTATTAATACTTACTGTTGAGGTTGTAAATGGATTTTCGCATTAAAATGTTGCTATAATCCTATTGGGTTTGGTTAAAATTCTTAATGATATCAAAAAGCTTCCCATTTTAATGTTAAAGTTGTTGTATTATACTATTTTGTTATAATTTACTCTTACGCGGAGGTTATATAATTCTATAGAGTAAGTTGTTAACGGATACTGCTTAGGTTGTTAATGCCTTCTCATTCGGTTGTTAATAGTCGCTATTGAGGTTGTAAATGGATCTTCGCATTAAAATATTACTATAATCCTATTGGATTTAGTTAAAATTCTTAATGATATCAAAAAGCTTCCCATTTTAGTATTAAAGTTGTTGTATTATACTATTTGGTTATAATTTACTCTTATGCGGAGGTTATATAATTCTATAAAGTAAGTTGTTAACGGCTATTGCTTAGGTTGTTAATGCCCTCTCATTCGGTTGTTAATAATCGCTGTTGAGATTGTAAATGGATATTCGCATTAAAATATTACTATAATCCTATTGGATCTAGTTAAAATTCTTAATGATATCAAAAAGCTTCCCATTTTAGTGTTAAAGTTGTTGTATTATATTATTTGGTTATAATTTACTCTTATGTAGAGGTTATATAATTCTATAAAGTAAGTTGTTCACGGATACTGCTAGGGTTGTTAATAGTCGCTGTTGAGGTTGTAAATTGTAATGACAGAGCAAATGTGAATCTGGAATATGAGGGGCAGTAATGTCATTTTACAAAACGAAAATATTACTCTGAGGTCCCTTGGGACCTGTCAGTGATTTTGACATTTCACGGGACCTCAGAGTAATAAATTGCCTTCTGTGGGACCTGTTAGTGATTTTCCCAATATTTATTCCATTCAAACCCCATTTATGAAATCACACATAATGTATCAATTATTACAACCCTCTGCCGTATGTAGTATAGTATACTACAAATGGCAGCGAATTTCTAGCGCACAGTTTTATTTTAGTTTTTTATCTTCTCCATTGGAAGATTTGATTCTTAAATGGTCAGTGGGTCAATGATGCGTTTTGAATCAGGTCCTTCGTAAGGGAGATAGACGAGAGCGACCTTCATCCAGAAAAGGAAAGGAGGCCTGCGGACAACAACTTTATTCTCTTGAATCTGGCCGATGACTCGATTGTCGTCTTGATCTCACCACTTCATTCAGCTCGCTGCATCGTCGAAACGCCTCTGCTAACCGAAGGTCGAACGCCAAATTGTATCCCGATGAAGCACCCATCATGTTCCCCTTTCTCCACAATTTCGGATGATGTGATTTTCATATCCAGGTGGTTGATTAGTCAGATCTAAGTTGTTTGCGTGTCTGCCACATCTACTGTCTAACAGAAATTCTCCACATCGTTTGTTTTAATTTAACAGTTCTAAAGTTTAGGGACTAAGGTAGAAAGTTAAAGGGATCTAATAAAAGAAAAAAAAAATTATAAAAACTTGATTCAAAATAAAGCAAAACAATAAGGACTCCTGAGTTAATTTTTCCTAGTTTTTTTATGGTTTGTTTGCGGTTGTAAAACTGAGACACAGAAAGCATTCAAAGCAACGTTGTTAGTGATGATGTGTTTAAAAAGTACGGAGGCCAATTACTTATTGATAAACTAGATAATTAGAATATAAAGAACTAGATATAAATTTTTTTTCTTTTGGGGTACAAAGATCTAGACGTAATTTTTGTCCCTTGAGAAATCACCGTCTATTGTTATGTGGAAGTAAATTAGTTTTTAATATGAAGCCGGTTAGTAAGGTAAATAAGTAATACTGAAGGCACTTTGCCATTCGACCGTATCCGTATCAATGAATCAATGCGGTCAAATCAGACGAAGGGTGAATCTTATACGCGGCAGAATAAAACTCGCCAAACAAATACTAATTAATTAAATTCACTTTTTTTGGCTGAAAAATAATGAAATTCACATTCCCGCCCACAACACCGAAGCCATAAGCGCGTGAGTTACAAACTCACAATTATCAATTACCCCACGCATGAATCTATAAATGAAAAGGTGTTCTTTTTTTTTTTTTTTACTGTCATGATTAATTAAAATAAAAATTAACGTAAACGTTTCAACTTCCAATAGTCCTCCTCCGGCTTCTGTCTTCTTTATCTCTTCTTTCTCCATTTTTTCTTGCCTCGTGATACTGTCCTACCCATACATACCCACTCATACAATTCTCTCTCTCTCTCTTATGGCATTTTGCCTCAAAACCGCTTCTATGTTTCTTCAAATTCACCTCAGGAGCTTCCTCTGTAACTGAGTGGTTTTCGATCCTGCATCACATTGTTTTCGATTTCGTCTTACTATGTGAATGGGGTTGGTTTTCGATGCTTTGCCTGTGATGAGGATTCTTGTTCTTTTTCTACTGCAACTGAGTTGGCGGGTCAACTCGGAGCCGACTCAGGACAAGGAAGCTTTACTCGCCTTCATCTCCCGAACTCCGCACGCAAATCGGGTCCAGTGGAACGATTCCGACTCGGCCTGCGACTGGTTTGGGGTTCAATGCGACTCTTCGCGTTCTTTTGTGTATTCTCTTCGGCTTCCCGGCGTCGGCCTTGTGGGTCCCATCCCGCCTGACACCATCGGTCGGCTCACTCGACTTCGCGTGCTCAGTCTCCGGTCTAATGGCCTCTCCAGTGAGATCCCCTTGGATTTCTCCAATTTGACTTTACTTCGTAGCCTCTACCTCCAGGGCAACAAGCTCTCCGGTGAGTTTCCCGCCACGGTGACTCGGTTGACTCGTTTGGCGCGTCTGGACCTTTCGTACAACAACTTCACGGGTTCAATTCCTTTCTCAATCAACAATTTGACCCACCTGAGTGGTCTTTTCTTGGAAAACAATAGATTCTCTGGGAATCTGCCAAGCATTACCGCCAAATTGGTGAGCTTCAATGTGTCCCATAATCAGCTTAATGGTTCAATACCCGAAACCCTCTCGAAATTCCCCGAATCCTCATTTACCGGAAACCTCGCTCTCTGTGGAGCCCCATTACAATCTTGTAACCCATTCTTTCCGGCGCCGGCGCCTTCCGCCGTCGTACCCTCGATTCCTGTTAACGTAAAAAACTCCAGGAAGCTCTCCACAGGAGCCATTATCGGAATTTCAGTTGGATGTGCTCTTGCTTTCTTACTGCTATTATTCCTTCTCTTGCTCTGCCTGCGCAGGCGCCGGCGCCAGCAACCACAGAAGACGCCGAAGCCTGTTGCAACAGAAACGCTGGCTGCTCCGGCGCCGGAGGCGGGAACGTCATCGTCGAAAGACGATGTAACAGGTGGGTCTGCTGAGGCAGAGAGGAACAAACTGGTGTTCTTCGAAGGTGGGATTTATAGTTTCGATTTAGAAGATTTGCTGAGAGCTTCTGCGGAAGTTCTGGGGAAGGGAAGCTTCGGGACATCGTATAAGGCGGTGCTTGAGGAGGGAGCGACGGTGGTGGTGAAGAGACTAAAGGACGTGACGGTGATGAAGAAGGAGTTCGAGACACAAATGGAGATTCTGGGGAAGATTAAGCATCAGAATGTGGCTCCTCTCAGAGCATTTTACTTCTCCAAAGATGAGAAATTGCTCGTTTACGATTACATGCCTGCTGGTAGCTTGGCTGCGCTGCTTCACGGTAAGTTCTTCATTCAATTCAATCTTCGCTCCATCATCTTCCTTCTCTGTTGCTTTCTGATGTGATAATGATAGTTACTTAATTCTTCTCTAACTAATTATTATAATAATACCAATAATGGAAAATTATTATATGATTACAAATAAATTTATCCTTTAAAGGACCAATGACTGAAAATTGCAACGCCCTTTGACTAGCTTAATACTGTATGAGTATGCTTTATCTATCATGTGTTCGTAGTTTTCTTATGATGATGAGGTGACGGTGGGGGGCATCCAGGATTGAGAAAGAAACATTCTCAAACAGATTCTTTAGTTTTTTTTATTTGCCATTTTTTTTATTGGTTCACAAAGCAACACGCCCTCATAATTCTAGGAACCTCACGGAGTCTTTCATCATCGCCGACACTGTTTCTGGCCGTCGCTTTTTTTGCTTTTCTCTTTCACCGAGAAAAGAGACAGAGAAAAAGTTAAAAAGAGCGTGACCAGTAAGGCAGTAACCCATTAGAACCCTATGTGGTGCTCTCACTGCTTTATGTGTTGAGGTAAAACAGGTTGCTTCAAGTTATCTGGAGGGTAAAATGAAGGGAAATTGTCATTTGAGAACGTGGTTATAATTACTTTTTTTTTTTTTAATGAGAATTGAATATCAATTAATCACAGAACTGAAAGCAATCCAATGTCCGAACAAATAGGTATTCTTTCATCAATTAGAATGTGGTCAAAGACGCAATAATTTTCTTCTATCTTATGAGCTAACTTTAGAAGTGGGAATCAGGGCCGGCCTGACCCTCCAGAGTAAAATTGACGGGTTTAAAAAGGCCGAAATTTTAAAAATATCTCAATTTGCTAGGCCCGATCCTTAAACTAACGGGTTCAGGGCCGGCCCACTGGTTTTCGATCCTGTTTTAAAAAAAAATACTATTTTTTTATATTTCTAATCAATGAAATTGTTAATAAAAGATATAAATATGAATAAAATTAAGTCACAAATATAAAATATCATCATATATAAATATCGATCAACATCCAAGAACATCTAAAACATTCATTAACAAGATAACAACATCCAAAAGTTTCATCTGCATTGCAATAAATAAATATTATTATTAATTTTTTAAAATTTCATCATCACTATAATCAATTATTCTTTTTCATAAGAATGTTTTTCTTTTATAACTAAATTATTCAGTTTTTCTTCTTTATAGGAATTTCACTTTTAAATTTTATAATATAGTTATTATTTTACTTTAATGTGAGAAATATTGATATTAAAACTCGTGAATTTCTAATTCAAATTATAGAATCACAAGTTAAATAAGTATAAAAATACTTTATTATCAAATATATATAGTTTAAACATATCAACGCATATAATATAAATTAAATCATTATTAAAGTCTAAATTAACTCATTTTTAAAAAATTTAATTGGACAAATTATTATCTAAAATTAAATAAATCAAACTATTATGTGAAATTTAATTTTAAAATGATAAGAATTACTAAATATTTGAAATATCATTAACAATGTAAAAAATTTAATAATATTAGAATTACACAAAAAAAATTTTTAAGCCCTCAGCTGTACAGAGCCAGCAACTCAATGGGCTCTGCCTATTTTTCCGGTTCTAGCTGACTTGGCTAAGTGATCAGCCACACTATTATGAGCTCCATAACTGTGTTTAACAACCACCTGCCAATTTATGGCATTATTATGGTTACGTTTTCTTTTAAAATTAAAAGAAATTAGAATTAATCTGGTATGTTTTTTTTTCCAAACAGTGTTATCTATGCGTCTCAAACTTGCGATTTTTCTAAAGTCATAATTATAATTATAATTTCAAAAAAAATGACAATTTAGAAAGAAATTTATGATAGTTTAGTCTTTCAAACAAACTCAAAATTTAAAAGTTTTAGTCATTGTAATGTAATCTGGTTCTCAAATTTTTCGTCTCAAGTATATAACTTTATGAGAAATCAAACGACTCATTCATCAACTTTCATTTTTTTTTTGGGGAAAAAAACAAATCATTCATGAACTGATTTAATTTTTTTTTTTTTGGCTTTGTAATCTTGACTTGTGTTTCCTTAATTCTTTAATGTTTTTTTTTAACTCAGAAAGTGTTTGGATAGAAACCAAACCATGGTGTTAAAAGTGTTTTTACGGTTTATGAAGTAAATATGTGAAGGAGTTTGTCTTGTTTTCTAGAAAAATATTTTGGGAAAAAAAACAAATCATTCATGAACTGATTTATTTTTTTATTTTTTTGGCTTTGTAATCTTGACTTGTGTTTCCTTAATCCTTTAATGTTTTTTTTTAAGTCAGAAAGTGTTTGGATAGAAATCAAACCATGGTGCTAAAAGTGTTTTTACGGTTTATGAAGTAAATATGTGAAGGAGTTTGTCTTGTTTTTTAGAAAAATATTTTTTAAAAACACTTTTGAGATCATTTTTCTTTTCATGTAGGCTTAATGGGATTTGTTAGTAATTTTCCTCCGTTCTAATTCTCCTTTTTTTTTTATTATATTTTTGCTCTAATTTTTAGCATCTTAGTTTTCCTATTAAAAAGTCACGTTAATCATATTCTCTAAAGCTATACTCCTATGGGATCCTATCCATGTGCTGGCCAAAAACAGAAATAAAAAAGATCCTACACATGGAAGAAAATATTCTGAAGAAAATATTCTAGATATTGTTAAATTTGGGATCTTGTGGTTGGTGTTAACGTGGCAGATGTGTGATGATTTTACAGGAAGTAGAGGGTCAGGGAGAACCCCACTGGACTGGGATAGCCGGATAAGAATAGCGAGAGGAGCTGCCAGAGGGTTGGCCTACGTACACGTGTCAGCAAACACGATCCACGGCACCATAAAATCTTCCAACATCCTCCTCCGAGATGACCAAGAGGCTTGCGTTTCGGAATTCGGGCTGAACCCACTATTCGGATCGACGCTCCCGTCAAATCGTGTCGGGGGTTATCGGGCACCTGAGGTCATCGAAACCCGAAAAACGACATTCCAATCCGACGTATACAGTTTCGGCGTGCTGTTGCTGGAGCTCCTAACCGGTAAGGCTCCGAACCAAGCATCTCTGGGTGAGGAAGGCATTGACCTTCCGAGGTGGGTCCAGTCGGTGGTTCGGGAGGAATGGACGGCTGAAGTGTTCGACACCGAGCTGACGAGGCACCTCAACGTCGAGGAAGAGATGGTTCAGCTCTTGCAAATAGCAATGGCTTGTGTCTCCGTCGTGCCGGATCAGAGACCCGCTATGCCTGAAGTGGTTCGTATGATCGAGGATATGAACCGTGGCGAGACTGACAATGCCTTACGACAGTCTTCCGATGATCCCTCCAAAGGCTCCGACGGTCGTACGCCGCCTCCTGAGTCGCGGACAGCTACTCCTTCTAGCACACCTTAATTATTAACCACGAAATGTTGACCCCAAAAAAAAACAAGACAAAATAAAATGGGGAGACAAGGGAGCCACGTGGTAGTGCCAGGAGCAAGAGATTGGGTCCGAGTGAGTGTGGTCCGTTGATGTATTTGCGTTTTCAGCTTTTGTCGATTCTTTTCTTTTAGAAAATTTCTGATAAAGATTGAATTTAAATTTTACAGAAATTATTTTTTTGAATTTTAATATTATTATTATTATTATCATAATGATTGAAAATTAACAAAAATTTGAAACAGGTATTATTAATTTTTTAGTTTAGCGTTTTTTTTCTTCAAAATTTGATGATAATTACGTTTTAAATTTTGGTGAAAATTTTGTATTTTTGTTAGTTTTGCATTATTTGACGTGGGAATTTTGATTGACTTGAATGATTTTTAGGTGGTGGGGGGTCTTGCATTTTTGATGAAATGAACTGAAGACGGGAAATTGCGCATCGATCGGAATTTGACCATTAGTGAACTTTTAGGTGACGTTTTCCACATTTGACAATTGGCGTTACATAAATAACATTCCTATTATGTTATCTTAGTCTCAAAAAGCAATTGATATATATATATTTGCTGTTAAAAAGCAATTGATATTTGATACAGAACAATAGAATTAGGAAGGATTTATAGGAAGAGTTGGTTGGAATGAAAAGGAATGAAAAAATAAAAAAGATGGGAATGGAACATTTCTAATAGAGAGCCTATTTGGTAAGTACCTAAATGAAAATCGGGTTGATAAGAAATTTTATATTTGGTTAAATGAAATTGTGCTAGAAAATCATGCAATTTTATTATATTACCTTTAATTTTTTTTCCAGCACCTTATTATCTTTACTGAAAGAATATAATATTATTAAATAAAAAATTACCTTATAGAATAATAATATTATTAAAAAAATTAATAAAAACAAACGAGTAAAAATTTAGTATAATTTAATAAATAAATAAATATGAATATTCACTATAAATATAAAAACATTATAGATATTAAATAATGAAAAACAATTAAATAAAAGTTAAATAATAAAATATAAATAAAATATAATAGAGAAGCTTGAATAAGGAATGAAAGTAAATTCACAAGAAACAAGGAAAGCAAGCATGATCAAGCAATTTATAATTCAGAATGGTTATAAATAAAGCCAATTAAAATTTGAATTTTTAGAGGACATGTATTTCTTAATTTAAATTTAAATGGTTAAATGATCTATCATTGAAAATCTCTTTAAGTTTAATTTTTAATGTAACAAGAGTATAAGACCCATTCAAAAGGTTTGTATTTTAAAATTTATTTTAAAAACAGTGAGTAAAAGTCACAAACTTTTTCAAAAAATAAAGCAACGTTGCAACATTTTAGTAATTAAATAGACAGATGTCATCAAAAAATTGACTGAGTACCACATTTATAGTTGGTGAGATTTTATGATGACATTAATCAACATTCATCATTTTTGTTCGCAATTTTGATCATAGCTTTATAAATATAGAGAGTTTTTGAGTGGGCTTTATTTCATTAGGAACAAGATTTAAATAGCTTTTCAATGATAGGTCATTCGCCTAATTTAGATTTAGATTGATAAAGTTATGTCTCATAAAATTCAAGTTTTAATAAGACAAAGAAATGAGCAAGCAAATTTAAATTTGACATAGAAAATTTAAATTCTTTTACATCAAATTTGAATCTATTTAAAAAAATTTGAATTTGATGCAACAATTTCAAAATTTTTTGCATCAAATTTGAATATGCTCATTTTCTTGCTCTAACAACGCTGTGTTTGGCTCGACAGAAGGAAGAAAATGGGAGAGATTTTAATCAAGAGAAGGGGAGGGAAGAAAAGGGGAGAGAAGCTACAAAAGGGAGGGTAGGGAGGGGGAAGAGAGGGAAGGGATTTTAATAATCTCTTGTTTGGATTGATTGGAGAGGAGGGAATGGAGGAATTTTAATGATACCTTATTTTGTTCTAATAAAAAAAATTAACTATTTTAACCTTAGAAAATTTAAATAAATTTTCTCACTTTTTTATTTTATCAAGATATAACTATATATATATAATGTAATTCATCAATTTTGACTTGCATGACACAGTCACACACATATAGAATGTCAAGATGAAAAATCATAAGTGATGGATTTCAATTAAAGGAGAGACCTTAAATGTGAAAGAAGATATCGATGGCCTCTTGGAATTAGAAGAAGAGAAAAAAGGTTTAACAACGCTCACTAATTTTGTAAACAACTATCTCGACGTCCTCTTGCCAGATATTCAAAAGAACTCTCTTGTATAGAAATGTTTACAATTGATTAGGGGTTAACAAATTGAAAGGGTGTATGAGGAATTAAAGTATTTTAACTAGACTAATTTTAAAATTTAAAATTTTATTTCTCATCTCTTCTCCAAAAAAACCACATTTTTGGAAGGGAGGCTAGAAGAGAAGAGGAAGGGAGAAAAACCCCTCCCCTCTTTAAAAAATATCTTAACCATACAAGGGAAGGGGAGCAACTTCCTTCCCCTCCCCTTCAAAAATCTCGTACCAAACGTAGTTTTAAAGTTTAATCATGGGTTTATTGATGTAAATTAGAATTTTTATCAACGAATTCCAATTTATGCATGGTAAGTTCAAACTTTTGCTCAAAATTTGAATTTTATTGAGTCTTACTTAGACACTCTAGTTTTTTTTTTTTTGATAACAAAAGGAAACCTTAGACAAGATCTATGCGACCACTAGCCATAGCTTTATGATCTGTCTCCAGGATCAGAGATAGTTCCCTAGGGATGTTGATAACAACATGAAAGCCTCTTACTGCATCAAGCCCTTGTTTAGCGAGGAAGTCAGCAGCTTTGTTAGAATCCCTATTCACGTGAGCAATATTCACCTCCCAATCCCTGTTCATCAATGAGCAAATTTCGCGAATAATATCATAGTCATAGTGGTGTTCCTTAGCTTCAGCTGCAATAAGCTCAATAGCATTGGCTGAGTCAGACTCCAAAATAACTTGACGGTACCTACTATCCCAAGCGAGCTTTAGTCCATGTAAGCATCCCTAGAGTTCTGCGTGAAGTTCATCCCCATCCTTTAGTTTGTGTAAGAAACCTTGTATAAACTCTCCTTCTGTATTTCGCAGCAGTCCACCACGGGCACAGTTTCGGTTGACATTGAGAGAAGGCCCCCTCCACGTTGATTTTAATCCAACCTTGCACCGATTGTTGCCATCCATGCTTCCCAGCACCTTGTCAGATCTCTGAAAGTGGAGCACCTGAGAGAGCGTTCTGGTGTTGTTTAAGAGTCGCTAGCGTAGTAGTAGCGCTAGCAATTATTTCTTTATTGGACACCTTCTTTCCATCAAAAATGGCAAGGTTCCGATGACACCAAAGCCACAAGCAGATCATAGAAAAGGAGTTCTTCCGGTCGTTACCATTAAGATGCTTGGTGGTAAGATTCCATCCTAGCCACTCATTAAAGCTCAAAGTGTAGAAATTTCACCACAAAGAAGGAGGCACTAGAGTTTGCTAGAGGAGCCGAGTTTCATGACAGTTACGAAAGACATGAATAAAATCCTTAGGTTCTTGTTTACAAATGGGGTAGCAATCATCATCACTCATACCACGTTTCCTCCTAATAGTGTTCGTTAGTAGGCTCTTACGAGTAGCCAGCCATATCATAGATCTACATCATTAGGGAACATGTAGCTTCCAAATTTTTCCCCAAAGCGGATCAGATTCCATACCAGTAGTTGAAAGAAGTTCATAAGCCGACTTGATTGAGAACATTCTGCGGCACTCATGTTTCCATCTCGCAGTGTTTCTATTGGGATCAATCTCCAGATTTTCCTCAACCTGTTTCCATGTCTTTTTTATTCCTAACTAGACATTGGATCCTCCCCTCGTGGCATCTATCTTTGGCATGAGATCATTGCCGCAGCGGTATTTGTCACGAACAACGTTGACCCAGAAATCATTGCGACTTATAAGTTTCCACCCAAGCTTCATAAGGTGAGCCTGATTTTGCTGTTTCGTGTTTCTCAATCTAAGCCCTCTTTTTGATTTAGATTTACAAACCGAATCCCAAGTGACCAGTGAGATCTTCTTCTGCTCCTCCGTATTACCCTAAAGAAAACTCCTATTAAGTTTGTCCAGAGTTTCACAAGAGGCAGCAGTTAGCAAAGACATCTGCATGGCATAGGTTGGGCTCGCTAACATTACTGAGGTGATTAGCATAGACTGCCCAGCAAGAGATAGTGAATTGGTCTTCCATCTCGTCAAGCGAAGTTTAATTTTATCCGCAATCTCTTTATAAGTATCTTTGTTCACTCTCTTATGATGCAAAGGGACACCCAAATACTTTCCTAATTCAGCTGTTTGAGTGAATCCCATGAAGGTACTAATCTCTGTACACTTGTTGTGATTGATGTTAGGAGAGAAAAACACACGGGTTTTAGAGAAATTTACCTTAAGGCCAGAATAATTGCAAAAGGTGTGTAGACAAAGTTTGATCAGCTCTGCTTGTTGAAAGGAAGCTTCTGTAAAAAGAATAATGTCGTCCACAAAAAACAAGTGAGAAATAGGGGGCCCACGTGCCGAATTGGTCTCCATTCGTTGTTAAGCATTTTCTCCTAAATGAGATGTGCCAATTTCTCTATACAAATCACAAACAAAAAAGGTGAGATCGGGTCTCCTTGTCAGACCCCTCTAGAAGATTTGAAGGATTCAGCCTTATTGCCATTCCACAATAATTGTAATTTAGCTGTTTGGATACAATGTTCAATAACTTCAATAAAAGAAGATAGAAGATTCAAACAAGAACTCAAAAATTGCCAATTAATTGGTCATAAGCTTTTTAAAGATAAATTTTAATAGCCATATATCCCTTCTTTCCTCGCAAGTTTCTCATTGAATACATGACTTCCTGTGCTACAATGATATTATCATATCCATGTCGACCAAGTACAAAACCACACTGATTAGGAGAAATTACTTGTGATAGAAAGTTTTTTATTCTGTTGGCCATAATCTTAGTAATCACTTTATTTACAATATTGCATAGACTTATGGGCCTTGGATCCTTTAAAGTTTCAAGAGGATCTTTTTTCGAAATTAGCACAACCAAAGTTCCATTAATCTCTTTGATTTCTTGGGGATTATCA